GCGAGCTGTGTGTTCTGATCCAAGAGCAGGCCTAGCCAAAGTCCAAAAAGCACTGCAGTGCAGAGAGGAGAGGAGAAGATGGCCAATTATAACTGAGGTGACAAGTTGTTAAGGAAAAGAAATCAAGACAAAACAAGAAGGAAAGGAGACTAAATAAAAGGGAAAATATATCAAAGAATAAAAGAAAAAGGAGATATAAGTCAGCAGTTTTAAGGTCAAAAGTCTACTTTGCATGAAGAATCAAAACTGACACAAGTGTATGAACTGATGTACGAGAGCACACAGTTGAAAGGCCTGTTATATGAATTTGTGAAAGTTCATCAGAGGACAGCTTGAGGGTTTCCGGTCTAATGCTGCAGATACTAAGTGCCTCACTGTCTCACAGGCCGTTCAGTCTGCACATCGGAGCGCAGTGAGTGCACCTTAGGTCCTGCGAGCTGATGGGAAGAGTGTCCATTTCCTCTGAGTGAGTGAAATGTAATATGCAAGTTCAGCTTTGGCTAAAGAGCATAGAGGGTGTGTGTAAGAGAAAGAGAGAGAGAGAGAGAGAGAGAGAGAGAGAGAGAGAGAGATAAGGATGGTGCTGAGAGTTGTAGTGATGACGCAGGTGGTGTTTAGTGCCATGTGTTGACTGCCACACTCAGCCCCCCCTGGATTATGATCGTTGAGGTGTTGGCGGTGATTGTTTGCTCTAAGAGTCTCTTACACTCATCTGGCCGTCTGCGTCAGACCTGCTACATGTTTTTCGCTATTCCAGATACGACACTGGAAAGCTCGGGTTAGAATAAACAGTCTGCAGTTAAAAATGTGGACAGCCATCCCAAAAACATTAGTAAGTGAAGCCTAAATGGCCTTTATGATCCCGAGAGGCAGCAGGAATGAGAGAGAGAGCTTCTGAGTGGAGTAGCTGTGAACAAGTTTGCTCCATTACAGCCAACAGTTTTAACCTGATCTGTTGGCTCAGCAGTGCTCACTTATCAAGTGATCAATAAACGGAGATAGACTCTTTAATAGGACAAACACAAAGAGGATATCCACCAACAAATGTAAGGGTGCTTGCCACTTATTAGCCTCATTTTCTTAATTCAAACCTACCTTTACCGTCATGTGAATTTGGAATTAAATGTTTTTTCTTTCAAAACAACAAGGGAAGCTTATTTTCCAGAACTACAATTTTATCGATAGTGCAGCACACTACCAATTGCACAAAACTCTTGAAAACCTATTCTGAAACAAAAGCAAACAGCCAAAATTTTCACTCAGATTTTTACCCTGAATCACGAGATCCCTAATACATTTTACAAGTGAAGTCGGGGTAAGCTGATGTGAGAACGCAGAAGGAAATACGGAAGAAAAGTCAGTGCAAGCGGGAGGGGGTCATGACATTTATATCCTGTAATTAGCACATGACAATTGACTGTATGCAAGCTACCCATGCAATTTCCATGAACGTATTGAAATTGCTTTATTATGTTTTCTGTTTTCTCAGTGTGTTCTTACACTCACTTTTGTTTATGTTGTTGTTCTGTCACACTACACAAAACATTGATATAAAGGCAAATATTCTCATTATAGCGTCATATAAATGATAAAATAAACTTAGAAACAGACCCAGGCTTGATGGTGTTGTAGAGGTGAAGAGTGAGGTGAGAGATGTTTATGTGTGTGAATATGGATGTGTTGATGTGTATGTCCAGGTTGTGGTGTGAAAGGCATTTGTTTTTTTCTTTCGCACATTTTTTTATGAGCAGGGGAAATGATGATTCAAATAAGAGAACAAGTGTCAGCTGCAGACCTTTAAAAACAAGACCAGACAGAGCAGCTTGATGTAGTGCTGGAACAAGATGGTAAATCATGTTGTGTGTAGAAATCCCATTATGAATAAATGAACATAAACTGCTTAAATTAGATTTGCCGTTATGCAATAAATATAATCATACTGAACAGTGTGAGTGTGAGAATCATCAAGAGAAAATCTGGAACCACTTTGCTGCAGAAACCGACTTGGCTCTACAGTTGCATAGTACAGCAACTTTTTTGGGCAAGCCTCCCACCCAGGGCCCACAGCCCAGCCCTTCAGACAGCAAGTGGGCGACTGGTGAAACCCAGCATCAACCGATCACTGCAGATCAGATCAGCTTAATGCAGTCCTGCTGCTCTGTGCCTTCAACAGTTAATTATCCTCAGCACATAAACAATACTTAAGCTGCATTAACAAAATCAGCCTGGGCGATCTTTGCTCTGCAGCGCTGTTATGAAGACAAATGTCACCAGGTGCCATTAGCATGCGTCAAGACGGAGCGAGTGTGTGAAGGATTGTTTTATTTCCTCCACTTCCTCTGTGTAGGTGTATAATGTTATCAACTCCTCTCATCTTGAGCAGAGGCATGTTTCTCTGAGGGGAAGCTCATCATCTCCCTTTGTGTTTAACAGTTTCCCTGCTGTTAATGTGAAACAAAAAAAAAAAGCTGTTATAGAAGTGTCTGTAATGGCTGGTATGGTTTCATAAAAAACAGATTAGCTCTCCAGGGTCAAAAAAAAAGAAAAAGGCATATGTTAGGATCTGTAGGGAAGCTGTAGAGTTGCTATAGTGATGAATGCAGACATAACGATCTTCATCATAAAACCAGTAAATTACCCACATGCTGCACATAGTAAATCTGTACTGTGTCTTTCTGACCCTGGGTTTTAAATCATGAAGCAGCACTTAACTGCTTCCAGGCACATAAACACACACAGTGTCAGCCTCTCTTCCCCCAGCCACTGATAAGCTATCTCAGCTGATGTCTGGAGCTGGTTAGAAACGCTGTTACTGCCTGTGTCCCTGAACTGTGACCCCCTAAACCCATGGCCTGTCTGACTTAACCTGAGCAGGCAACTCTGGGAAATACAAACCTCTGGGCTTGGACCTGGTTAGAGGTCAGAAAAGCTGGGGTCGAGGTTATCACATTCGTTCAGCATCATTTTCACTTCCCTTAGAGATTGTGTATGCTTTGCCAAAGGGGTGGCACTATTCTAAAAAATCTGATTGGCCATCCCTTCAAATCAGAGGCGCAACATTTTTACAATCTTTATGTTGACATCAACTATTAGGGCTGCGTTGCGGCAGGCTGCTAGTAGATGTATTTGTTGTTAAAGTGGCACATTCCCTTTGTTATAGTTTGTTTAATTGTGTCTTTTAACACACATCTTTCTTTTGAGTTTTTAAAGAATTAGTTTTAGAAGATCAATATTTTGCAACTCCTTTTAAAATTAAGTCAGTTAAATTGTATACATACATCATACTTCATGTCCCCCACCTACATAAGTCAGTGTTTGGCCACCCAAGTAACAAAAAAGAAGAAGGCTGGACATGCCTCTGACTTTGAAGGATGGCTTTCAGGATTTTTACAGCACCAGCCATAAATTTCAACAGAACTCATACGCTCTCTTCAGTTCAGCAAGGATGTTTCACAATGCTTGATGCTTGATGCTTTCTTTGACATATACAGTGATTGTTTAAAGTTTACGTTCTACAGTCTTTCTTGTGGAGCATGAACATAAATGGCCAAACATGTAGTAAGAGATACTGTAAGAAATGCTGCTTTGATACATACAAGGAGCCTGGCTGTAGCGGCTAGGAGCCACAAACAGTAATTTCCCTCAAAGTTATATGCAATTGAAGACATGTGTTAGCCATTTCTCATACACTGTGACTGTGGTTTGAGCAGTGGAGAGTAAGGGACACATTTACGCCGCTATTTTTCATTGATTGGTACAGTGCCCATATTGCATTTTTGAGGACAAGAAATAGAAATAGTTATGTATTGAAAAGCTCAATGGATACTTAAGGCGTTTTATGATAATGTATTCAGGCTCTGTGTTTAAGGCAGTACACTCACATAATTGTCTAAACATGCCAGTGTGGCTTCTGTAGTCTGGGTCCCTGCGGAGTGAGTGCAGCGATACGATCTTCCTCTGAGGCTTACATAAGTAATTAGGTCAGTGTTGTCTCTTATAAACAAAGGCAAACCCTATTTAAGTGTGCAAACTTTTTTTTAAAGTCAATTTCCTTGGAAGTAAAGTCCTTCAATTTCCTTTAAATTCACCTTGTGTTTGGTGTGAATTAGTAGCTGAATACGATAAAAGCTAAACCATGGTGGAGAATCCAAGCCGGAGACAGTGTTTCTCCATTTGTAAAATAATTGTGATCAAAAGTCAGAGGGTCAGCTCCGGGGCAAGAAGATGAATGGGAGGCCAGAGCGGACAGCTACAGATAAAACACTCCAGACATCGAGCTCAGAGGAAAGCTATCTCAAGACTGAGGAAGGGTGGTGATGGTTGGGTGGATGAGGCAGGATGGGAATTGAGGACCAGACAGAAAAAACAAACAGTCCCCCAGCAAAGGATCTTCCTTTCTACAAAGGATTAAAGTGGATGTCCGGTCCCAGCTCACCCCCACCTCGTAGCCCACTTCCCATGTCCTCCTGACATTTCTGTGCAGCAGGCGGCCTGCAACTGGTCTGGAGCATTTTTTTCTTCTTTTACATTTAAAGCTGACCACCCTAACTTCCTACATCACACTCTGAGCTGTTGATGTGATTGGCTGCGGAGCCAAAATAAAAAAAATCATGATTTCTTTAGTATAAACAGCACATACCATCTTTTATGGTGCAGCTGTGTTTGGAGAACAGGGCTATTTATACAACCACACGCTCGTTTTATAGCTCTTTTGTACCTCTTTTTCCGGGTGTTGACACATGTCTGCCTCAATCACCTTTAACTGACCAACACTGCTGCCCTTATCTAACTGTCAAAGAGGAATTCTGTTGCCTTAACATTTTTTTTTGATTTTATGCTATTATTTGTCCGTGTTTTACTGGATTCATTCAAAGTGAAGTCTAGCAGAGTCAGGATGTGCTTTGCCCTCTGACTCTTATTTATCTGCACATTATGCAATCATCAGACACTCGATGCTTTAAAAGATAAATGTCTTATCTCTATCTGTTTCCTTCCTTCAGATTCGTACTCTGCAGCAGGCAGCGAGGGCAGCATCTCCACATCCGTGGCATCCCTGCCGCCACAGGCCTCCGGCAGCTCGGCCCCGAGCTCTCCGGGCTCCAGACGCTCTGTGAGCACCCTGAAGAAGTGGCTCACAAACCCTGTGCGCAAACTCAGCGCTGGGGCCACGGCCAAAGGGGAGCGTCAGGTCCGCAAGCTCGATGGAAAGCCTCCTCCTCTTCAGTCACACAGCAACAGCCTGGACCTGGGCACCCCCCCGAGGCCTGATGATACCTTCACCATCCTGCCTGTAACCCACAGAGAACTGGTAAGTTAAAAACTGTTACATATAGCCTCCTTTTACAAGGTCACAGGAACTGATTAAGCAAGACAAAGTATGCGAGATGAACCACCTCTTAAGTAAACTTAACTGGAATAGTTCCCACACTTTCTTATCACAAGGCCGTCTTATAAACTGGTTCTGAGGTAAACATGCAAAGTGTCAGCCTTATATAAACACAAGCCAAAGCCAACATCCTATCTGTAACTTGTTTGTATTAAGAAGCTTTTGAATATTAGCAGAGACACAGGTTTGATGTAGAGTTGCACTAAGTATCATGACAGGTGGAGATGTTATATAAGAGCAGCACTGCTGGCTCAGCCTGCAGGACCTCACGCTGCCTGTGACTCATGTGCTCTCTGTGTCGCTGCCTGTGCGTCTCTGCACGTCTCTCTGTGTCTGCTTGCATGAGCATTGCTACCTTCATTCTCTGTAATGTTTATCCTGTGTTGTTTATATGTGTATGTGTGTTCCAGGAGTGGAAAGATGGTCTGGCGAGCCCCGAGGACCTGTCGCCTGCCACACTGCAGGCTCCTAGCTACATCACCGACTCGCTGATTGGCTGCACGTCACTGCCAGACTCCCAGGTCAGCCTGCAGGATGTACTATAAAACTTAAAAACGTAAAATATCAAACAGGATCAGTGTTTATGAATGAAGTAAAAGTACTGATTTTTGACAGAATGGAGGAAAAACTTCATCTTTGTCTGCATGGCCTTCCAGCAAGAGCCACAAATAACTAATACTACTACTGCTCTACTATCAAGATAGACAAAGCAACACTTTTTTCTTCAACCACACACACCTGACCACAGATGCAAACAAGATACATAGGCACACACATAGACACACATGCAAACACGCACACTTGTAAGGGAGTCTTAATGAATACAAGGCTTTCTCAGAGCAGATCGATGCACCACAGGGCCAGAGGGCAGCGTCTGACAGCGACCTATGTGATGCATGACTCACATTCAAGATGTTCAAAAAAGAACACGCCCGGAGAAAAAAGAGGAAATAGCATGAAAACAGCAGATGTGATGAAAGAGGACTCCACTTGTGTTAATGGACAAAGAACGCTGTGTACAGCACATATGCTTTCATTTTTCCATCAAACACTTGCGAGTTTGAGGGTCCCTCTAGAGAAGCAGAAAATGGGATTCACTTGAGCAGCAGTAATAATGCATGAGTCAGCAATGCCTAAACCTTATCAATATAGAGCCAATCAATGATGATACCCAAGGGTTTGAACTCTTTTGAGAGTCTCCTGGAGTGAAATTGACACCAGAGCACTTAAAAGCCTGATTTCAGTCTCAACAACACATCAGAAGCCATGATTACATCAGAGGGATGACCTCGGTGCTTTGGTATTTTCACTGCCAATCTTGGCAGAGAGAGAGAGAGAGAGCGAGATGGTCAGAGAGGTAGAGAGAGGTAGAAGCAAAGAGATGAAATTATGTAGGTCAGATATCTCAGAGCGGTGGTTCCTGTCTCTGCAGCTTTAAATGCCTCATATCCAATGGTTAATAGTTGGATGGTGTTTTTTTCTTCTTCTTCTTCACACAGCTGAGTCTAATAAAACAACCCTAGCAGAAAAGTTTTATTTGTGTAGTTTCTTTTTCGGTCAATAGAATAGTTGTTGTGATTGTGTGTGTCAGTAGTTAAACAAGGTGTGGTGTCATAAAAGAAGCTAGAGCAACAGAGCACATACTGTATTAAATTTCCCCCGTGAGGAGCAGCTTGTAAAGTCTTTCATATCACCAACCTATACATAAAACAAATAATTAAGGCGAAGTATTGAAACAGGGGAAGAAACGAGCTGTGCTGTTATTGTGAGATCTCTTAGAAGCAGCCCCTTGCATCAGTGCTGTTAAATTGCAGTTCCGGCACCAGAGACTTCCATGCAGTATCTTTGATTTGTGCTTGCATGTCATGAGGATTTATGGTCCCTTTGAATCGTCTGCGCCATCAAACCCAAAATGAGAAAATGGTGATGCAGCATGCTTAAAATGTCAATACTTTTACACAATATGTTTCACTCTTTAGCAAATATTGTTGGCTATGTTGCCTGAACGTTGGTGCTAAAAGATCTGTTTTAAAGCTAGAAGTGTAGTATTTATTTATATGGAAATCCCTGTTGTATCACTCTAATACCTCTGATTTGCTTGATTTTATGCATTCCAGCAGTGAGTGGATTGTTTTACCACCCATAGTTTAAACTATAAATAATAAAAATGAATGAGTCGTGAAAACTTTGCTAAAAGCACTTGTTTTCCTTATGAATAATTTTTCAGATTTAACACAAGCAAATTTGTGCCGTCCCTTTTCTTGAATAATGGAGCTTTTTAAAGATGAGACACAAAAAAACCCACATAACCTCATCTTTTACTTAAACTGTTGTCAGTTTTTTTTTTTTCGAAGACCTCTGAGTAGAAAAACAAAACTTTGCAACAGCAGAAGAGAGGAATTTTTCCTGTGGGCTTTGCCACAGCACATCTGGATGTGATCAGGGAGCCAGGGAGACCTGTCAGCCAGGGTCGGCGCTCTCCTAGCGGGGCAATACAAAGCAGAAGGGAGCGAGGGTCCTTATGGAGCCTCACTGTCTCTGCCTACACTCCTGTCTCTCTACTTCCCTTTATCTCGTAGGTGCTTTTCTTTCTCTCTCTCACACACACATCAATGTGACAGAGGAGAAAGCTCAAAGCTTGTAGACGCCAACAAGTTAATCACAGAAATGTCAAGTGAACAAGTGGAACCAGCCCAGAGGAGAAAAGGAGAAAGTTCTGTCTCTTTTTTCCATTTGTTTATGTCTATCTATCCAATCAATCTATTAATGTCGCCATCCTGCTGCCGCCTGCAAGGGGAGACTGAGGGATTAGACATATGTCTTTTGTGTGTTTAAGGTGGGGAGGTCTTGCTTGACTGAGACGAGGGGACACAGGGATTTAGGTGAAGACAGACGTCTGCCTTTATAAGTTTACACAGCCGTGAGCGAGTGAATGGCCTTTAGAGAAAAAGCTGAATATCATGGCTTAAAAATAGATGGAAGTAGTGTGTGAGTAGATACATTTCCACAGAGAGGTGGAAGCTGGTCATTTTTCAATCGTGCAAAGGTGATAAGTGTTCTTATTGTGCAGGAGAAGTAGGTTACACAAACACATGTGTTGTGTGTAGATGTGAGCCATGCATCCATTGAGCTTGGGATGATTTCAATCCTCGCAAGCTTTGTTGCAGTTTGCACAATGACTACATTCGCACCAGGCCCCCTGCAGGAAGTGATATCAATTCCAGGAAAAAGCATGAAAACGAGGTCATGTATGTAACGCATGAACACAATCGATTAGATCAGAGTAACCTTGGCCTTATCCTGCATGCATGTCTATCTGACGTACATGTTGCTGTGAGGTTGAAAATAAAGATTCTTTTGTGATGTATTTACACGTTCTGTTGAACCCTCAGGTGGCAGAACAAGAACATAACATCTATTCATTCGCACATACATCAGAGTTGTACTGACATTGCTAGGGGGCGTGCAGTAATTGCATTGGTCTTCCTCTTCCTCCATCAAGAATCTTTACGCCTTTGTTTGTTGTCTACTGCAGCAGCCAGCCTGTTGCTCCTTTGAACTCTTTGTCTTTATCTTTCAATCTTTCTCTCTCCGTCTATCTGTGGCTGATGTGAACAGCATGGATCATTAATGGTGACTATCTGAATCTCATCTTCTTATCATTCAATCTCTGTTCCTCGAGTCCCTCTGCTCTCCGTGGTCACCTTGGCAACCTGCATCATTATCATCCCTCTCCTGCTCTTTATCTCTCCTTGCTTACTTTTTTTTTTCTGGCATGATCCACAACACTGGCTCAGGGCCTTTGATAAACAATTCTTCTGCCTGTGTGTCTGCCTGCCTCCTCAGGACACTCAGTTCAGCAGCACTCTGCCAGATGACAGCGGCTCCATCTTGATCGACGACAACTCCAGCCAATGGTCGGCCGCGGCTGACACTGAGGAGGAGAGGAGGAGTGCCTTAGAGAAAAGCATGTATGTGTTTAATCAGTGCAAAGATCCACACATCTGCCAATGCAATTCTTCATCATATTCTGTCAATACATGTGTTGAAGCACAAACAACATTATATGAAGCAGAGCTTTAGAATGCAGCTGTCATCAAGGGTTGTTTGATTTCCCCATAAGCTATGAAAAAGTCAAATTTATTACATTTTAGTTTTCCACTGTTCTCTTATACCATCCAAGTTCAGCACATTAGCATGTTAATAACTGGCGTGTCATGGTTCAGAGTCAAGTTTATAAACAGTTTCTGAATCTCAAGGATTATCTCTGAGAGATGCAGAATATGCATATTACCGTCAAACCTGGTATAATAATGATAATAATTAAAAGTATAATTATTATAACAACAATAACCATAATCCTAATAGTATTATTATTATTGTCATTATTGTTGTTGTTATTTTTATTATTATTATAATCGTCATTATTATTGAATCAGAATCCTATTATTGAATGTGAACATGTTGTCAAATCTCAGTTACTATCGTTATGACTGAATCTAAATTATTTTAACCTTAGAAGAATTAGAATTCTTCATTTTTTTATTTTATGCTTGTCAGTGCTTAGTACACTTACACAATAAGACAGATGTTAGATCTTACAATCTCTTTCAGTTGTTATCAGTTATCAGTTATATAATTGTTATGTGACAGAAGTTCCTCGCTCCAGACTTTTGTCCAAAATGAGTCATCTCCACGAGAACAGAGAAAATCCATTGGCTGGTTCAGACTGTAAGATGCGGGTTGGAAAGCCTGTTGAAAGTCAGAGACATTGAATTAAAAAATTTGAAGATTATTTCTTACAACAATAATTGACTCTTTAGACACTGTGAGTTACTCTAATGAATTAGATTTATTTACATGAAAGTGCATCAGATCAACAATGAGTCCTTTTTCCCTCGGACTAGTTCCAAATAATGTATACCTTTCCAGAAAACTTCTTCTTGCAAATCTACAATGTGGTAGCATGTCCTTTCTTGAACAAAAAAGTATCTTGAAAGTTGTAACTGTTCAATAAAGTTTCATAAGGATTTGTGCAAAGTTATTGTAGAGACTTTACTCTAACACTAATCATTGCTCTGTGTATCTTCACAGGTATGTTCTAAAGGAGCTTACAGAGACAGAGAAGCACTATGTGGTAGACCTGGGGCTCATAGTGGAGGTAAACTTCACACACCGCACTGACAGAGACTGTGTGTCATCCACACAGTCTGTCCGACAGAGCTTTAAATCCTCATCATCACTCCTCCACTCTCCTCCTCTTTTCTCTGGTCTGCTGCCTCTTAAGCAGATTTTGTGAATTATTAGTTTAAAGAGTGTTATGTTGCGGGGGGATCTGTCTCCTGAAGCTTTAAATAGCTGCATATATTTTGGTTCAGAGACAAATCTTTCCCGTATGAAAGTTAATAAAAGCGAAACGATAACTTGAGTGTGATTGCTGCTGTGTGTTACAGCAAACACGCTTTATTTACTGGTATAAGAGCGAGCTAAATGTTGTTTTTTTGTGGATGTGAACAGCAGCTCTGTCATTTCATTTCAGGGCTACATGGCCACAATGAACTCCAAAGGAATACCAGAGGACATGAAGGGAAAGGACAAGATTGTTTTTGGAAACATTCACCAAATATTTGACTGGCATAAAGAGTAAGTTCCTGCTTTTAACATACAGTACAAGAGGGAAATTGTGCATTGGCTAGCGTTGCATTCAATGTGAAAGACAAACAGTGATTTGCAGTGTATTTTGAGGCTGAGAGGAGTACAAGGAACAAAAGTTCAGGAGACAAATCTGACCTTCTGTTTTGGTGTATTGTTCGTGTGTGAATGTGTGTTTTCTCTCTGTAGCTACTTCCTGGGAGAGCTGGAGAAGTGTTTGGCAGAGCCCGAGAGGCTGGCTCAGCTCTTCATTAAACATGTGAGTTCGACTATCTTGTAGGCACACACACACTCACACACACACACACACACACACTCACACACACACACACGCACGCACACACACACATGCACACACACACACAACTCAGTGGAAGTGTCTTGGTCTGCTTCCTCGTGCTGTTTGGCGTTAGTGTAAATAAAGCTAAGAAAACACGCTGAGCTCCTGTTTATTCTACACCGTACCTCTCTCCTCCTCTCCAGCGTCTCTCCCTCCACTTCCTTGTTACTGATATGTCTGTGTTTTCACAACACACGCACACACACACACACACACACACACACACACACACACACACACACACAAAGGAACGATACCCTTGGCGATTTCCAGTCTGGGCCGGACTGGTCAGGAAACACTTGGGGAAAAAACAGTTAGAAAAGACAACAAGAATAAGAGGAGCAGTAACAAACGCTCAGCTCAGGCTCTTTGATATGAAGGCTTTTCTCCGGCGACCTACTTCTTACCATATATGCTGGCTAAAGACATGGCTAAAAAACATGCAACATCACTGATAAGTGTATCATGTGAGAGCATGATCAGGTGAAAGGTCACAGTGTGTGAGTTAAATTAGATTTCTGTTTACTGGCTAAGAGGTGGCGCGTGCAGGCAGGACAGACGTGATGTTTTCTTTCTTCCACTTACTTGGCTTTTCTTCTGTCAGTATGAATAAGTTAAAAGTCTAAATATCTCCTTTTATTCATTCCTTCTCTGTAGCTTCTTTAACTATTTAATAACGCTCAGCCAACAGGATAGTCAACATAAAAGGCTGCAGACGGAATAAAGGAACTTGTAACTAAATCTAAGCCCAGTGTCAAACTGTGAAAACAAGCAGACTTGGAACACGGCCCTAATGAAAGGCAGAATCTGCTTTTAACAAGAGCTGTGTCACCGATACGCAACATGTGTGCTCACTTACACACAGGCAACATATAAACAGACCAATACACTCCATGCTCTGTGCACTCTTTTACTTTTCCCATGCAAAAGTCTTGTGCAGGGTTACATGTCGTCCATATTCAGGCGGAGCAGCTTGTCGGTCTCTAGGTTACAGAACCATGCAGACTGTTGCTAGGTGCAGTCGCATATCTGCAGGCTCTAAAAGGCTCTGGTTACTGAGGGTAACGTGGGTAAATTATACATCACCTGAGGCTCATCTACATATAACTCCATTAGAGCTCAGACTCACATATTAGCACTCCCATGCCAATTAGTCACAGAACAGTAGGCGCTAACCAGAAAGCATCAAAGGACACCCACTCCAAGAAAAAAAAACATGATCAGTATGCACCCACACTGAACATTCATTGTTGTTTTTCTTCACTTGCTTGTGCTTTTCATTCACATGCAATGAAATCAAAGGGTTTTATTTTGTCACAGTGATGCTCATGAGAAAGTCTTTTTGATTTGTTTCAGAGTTCCAACTGAATCATATTTTTAATAGATGTTTGTCTGGTTTGCAGGAGAGGCGTCTGCATATGTATGTTGTATACTGTCAGAACAAGCCCAAGTCGGAGCATATCGTCTCAGAGTACATCGAGACTTATTTTGAGGTAAGTACCGCTTATTTGCATTCTTATTTTATCTTTGTGTATTAAAACCTTTTTGTAGAGTTGTAGTTGTGTAAATGAAGAGTAGTCTCAAATTGTTTTAAATGGCCTCTGAACAGTTTGATACTGTAGGGATACTTTTGTGATATTGTCCGATCTGAAGAATACCAATATTAGCCTGTCCTTGCCAAAACAAGCACATTCAGAGGACCTTACTAGCATGTCTGTAATTGCCAAAGGATTACATTGTGAATTTCTGGCTGTGGCAATTTGGTGGAGAAAATCAAAACATTTTTGAATCTACGAATTATTTACACACCTAAACACAAGTGTATATAAATAGGGTCAATGACTGAAAAAAACGCAGCATCTTTGTTTATGATGTTTTTTCAATAGTTTTAAACGATTAGTCAATTCTAGATCCTGATTTTGATTCTTTTTGATTTGAGTGTGCTGATGATTTTGGATCTGCGACCCTTGCATACACATTTTTCACCAGTTAACTCAGGCCTATAGTTAATAAGCCATTTAGTATGCATGAAGGCCTAACTGTGCCTTTACTATACACATACATTATACATGGCCTTGTTGCTGTATTTTTAGCTATACATTATTCAGATCGTTCTTTTTCATTGACAGTAAACACAACACAGATATACAAAGATCAATCGTTTGTTAGATGAGTTTTAGTGGCCTCAGGCCGTTGTGTTTATGCTGTGTCCGTCATGTTAACTGGTTGCCGTGTTGTTATGTCCGTCTCCCCTGACAGGAGTTGCGGCAGCAGCTGGGCCACAGGCTGCAGCTCAATGACCTGCTCATCAAACCCGTCCAGAGGATCATGAAGTACCAGCTGCTGCTCAAGGTGAAAGGCAGCGCACTGCTGAGCTGTTGACACACACCAACACCTTTACACACACATACACACACGCACACGCGCACACACACACACACACACACACACACACACACACACACAGTGGTGTCCACTGTGCAGCTGTCTGACACACAGCAGGGTCAGTCACGAGATGGTAAACATTATGCTCCCACACAAACACACACAGATGACACAGGCTGTATTATAATGTCTGTTCAGTCAACTTTCAAGCCAGAGAGGAAGAGACAAATTACATAATGAGACTCAGGTTTTAAACAATCGCGTCTAATAGTCTTTGAAGAGGATCATAAAATGACATCCCTGGAATAAAACTTGGCCTAAATATAAATCTTTACCCTTTGGCGTTCTAATAAAAGCTGGATTCAGCCCCCTTAAATACTCCTCCAGATGTCTTCACCTTATTCAAAGCAATAAATCTGGAACTCTCGGGTGACCATGCTGTGTTTATTTGAGCAGGACTTCCACAAGTATTACACCAAAGCTGGGATGGACACAGAGGAGTTGGAGGTGGGTGTCCTCGTGCAACATATGAGGATTAATTAAGTTTAGTGCGCTTTTTATAATAACCTCACTTTTTTTTTCAAAACAGAAAGCGGTTGAAGTGATGTGCTTCGTGCCAAAACGTTGCAATGACATGATGAATGTGGGCAGACTACAAGGCTTCGAGGTACGTCTCAGGAATTTAGGTCATCCTTAAAAGTCTTCAAAACATTTCTGATGCCAACTATGCAGCCCATTAAAACCACACCGTAACCACTTCCTCTGCTGTTGTGTTTATCTTCGCTGTCGTACCAGGGGAAGATCACAGCGCAGGGCAAACTGCTCCAACAAGACACGTTCACCGTCACTGAGCAGGACAGCAGCTTTCTGTCCCGAGCCAAGGAGAGGCGGGTCTTCCTATTTGAGCAGCTGGTAATCTTCAGTGAGCCCATCGACAGGAAGAAAGGCTTCTCAATCCCAGGATACATCTTTAAGAACAGCATCAAGGTGGGCGCCCACTGAGGATAAGTCATCTCAGATCAGTGAGACTGAGCGAGTACATTAGAATCTTGTGTTGTGAGGAAAACAACCAATTCAAAGAAAAAAGAACCACACTTACTCTTGCCTAAATCAGCACACATTACATAACCCCACAGCAGGGACGTTTTAGAGGCTTGCATGTGTTAGCAAAGTAAATCCTCACAGATGCTAATCAGATGTGATACGTTCCAGGTGAGCTGCCTGGGGGTGGAGCCTATCGTGGAAGGTGATGATGCCCGCTTTGTGCTGACATCACGCAACCCAGACGGTAGTGTGGTGCGCTTCCAGTTGCTGGCCTCCTCCCCTGAAACCTGCAGGGCCTGGGTCAATGATGTTGTACAGATCTTGGAATCACAGCGCAACTTCCTCAATGGTAAGTCCCTGTTAGGCTCTGAAGACTACTCAGCATCCTGAGGATCAATAAACAATGTTTCAGTGTGGCACATTTTCCATTAATGGATTGTGCTTTTAGGGATCATACATAAGCAGCTGGATCAGTGTGAGTCAAGACGTGCTTTGTTTGATGGTACAGTCTGGTCAATGGAAAACCATTTAGTCCAAAAAGAAGCTAAGATTAGAAAGAGAAGTGTCATGTTTGGAATGTTTAATGAGATACTATATGAGAATCATAAAAATAGTGCGTCAAATATTCAGTCAAATATTTCCCCTGGTGGAAAACAGCCTCAGTACTCTTAGACCCTCTTTTAGTAGTCTATGAAAAGTCAAAGGGTATTATACATTTTTTTGTGCGCAAAATTCCCAAACAGAAGCATTTTTTCTCCTCTTCTATTCAAATCATTTATGAGCTACATATAAGATTAGATTAGATTAGACTAGAAAACTCATTTGTCACCTGGTCAGTTCACACACACAACAAACAATATTGACAGTACATCACAGTACACAACAGGTAAATAAATAACAAACACCACTGAAACCATTTGAATAATCATGTACAGCCATGAGTCAGAAACACAACTAAAAATGTTCATTCAAATATTGGACTGCTGCAGGAACAAAGGACCTCCTGAGCCGTTCAGTGGAACATTGTGGCATCACTAATTGCTCAATGAAGGAGCTTCGGAGTCCATTAGAAACACAAGGAATATAAACTCTTAAAGGAAGGATAATGGAACAATGTACTGTATTGTCTTAATGTTTTTTCTTCTTGCAACTGAAATGCCTCAGATGGGAAAAAACTTTTTTTTTTAGCTGGATTGCACTTTCTTTGTTCTGTGGAAGCTAACTCTCTGTCAAACAAAACAAACCAGTGTGGAATCAAAAATAAAACATGGTTCTTGCATGAACAATATAGACAATTTAATTAAAGGCTAATTAGACACAATGATGTAGTTGTTAGTAGATATACATGTGTATTAGGTATTTTTTTGTAATTACATCCTGTAAAGTCTGTTGTGAATTTCATCATAAAATTCATAACATTTCTTTCTTTATCGTTATCACTATTAACAAATGTGTCTTTATTATCCTAAATGTCTTTATCATCTTACAGCCTGACATATGAGATTACAGCACAGTGTCAGACTGTGAAAAGCATTTATTAAATATCTGTATATTTCTGATTGACAAATAGGGGGTTTAGTGTTATTCATGTCACTGTTTTGTAGAACATTCAGGATAAAGTGTGGAGCTTTCTAAGAACTGTCTCGTCATCCTCTGTTTGTTTCAGCCTTACAGTCACCTATTGAGTACCAGAGGAGAGAGAGTAAGTCTAACAGCCTGGGCCGCTGCATGAGGCCCCCTCTGTCTGCCGCCAGTGCTCTTCGGCCCCACTCCTCCGCCTCTATTGACCGCCATAAACTTCCCTCCCTTCACTCTCACAACATCTCCTTACCCTCACTCTACCTGCCCAGCCAAGGCCAAAGCCAGGGACCCAGCGAGATGTACTCACTGCGGGATGTAGGTGTCTTTAGTTGTCTCCTTCTTTTTGTCACCCATATGAAATAATAAACTAGCAAATGGTATTTTAAACTGATAGTAAAGGACCAACTTTTGTTCACATTTACAGCCTGCTGTGGCCCAGCCATGTCCTGCTGACTCACACACTGTTTCTCCCTCCCACGTCCAACTGGGCTTCACCGATCGGCCAAACTGTCAAGCTGTGTCAAATGGGCTGTACACTCCCACCACACAAAGTGCACAGGTTCGAGTATGTGCATGCATTCTAAAACAAATGTCCGTATAGGGGCCTTGATGTTACATTTAAGTTGTATTGTTTATTTGTGTGTAGCTGAAGGTTGTGCTCCTGGCCATCATTATTGAACACCAGCACTCTGAGATTTAATGACAAAATAAGCACTCATGACTCTCACAACAGGGGGAATAAAGGGACACATGTCTGACAATAAGTCTGCTTATTAATGTTCAATAAAGGAGGTAAGACTTCAAGTCTTGAGTTATAAGAAGCGTTATTGCTCCCCCTACTGGTTAAAAGGGGAATCTACAAAACTAGAAGATCTTCTTTAGGAAAATTGTAATTTATCGGCATTTGTTTTATTTAGCGTCAATGAAAATCATTTTCTGAACCGCATATATACAAATATAATATAATATATATATATATAGCAGTACCAGACAGTGTAACATTCAGGAAGTGTTCTGTAAGGCAATGACAGACGTTTATATAAAATTATTTAAGGGGTCTTTTTTCTGAATTAAACAAGCGTTTCATTGGTTTTCCCAGTGTTGAGAATCAGGTCAAGGTTCTTGCACTATGCTGATAGTGTCTCCTCTCTGTTGTTGGGCTTTACATTACCATTACTACTCTCTGTCATCACTGGGCTTGTTCTCCTCTGTGGATCAGTGCAGACAGGCCAGTAGTTGTTCTCCACCTCACTCTGTTTACTCAGGTTGAACAGATTTGGTACAAAAAAAAACAGGAAGCAGACAAGGAAATCAGAGAGCGATGCCTATCAACGGCAGAGAGTGTTTTCCATACTTGTGCAAGGGAATAGAAGGGGTATTATGGAGCTATTCACTACAAGTTCACATTAAATCATTCATCAGATAAGTCAAATAAGAGTTTTAAATGTTTGTGTTGTGAAGAGAAGTACTCTTAAGATGTGTGAATGTTCCCTGTCTCCCAAACAGAGGGCAGCAGAGGGCAGCAGAAGGGGCCAGCCTGCTGATGCTGGGAGCCAGCCTCCACTGTCGGGCCCCTCAGCCGGACGTCGCCCCAGCAACCTAGCTCAGCTGGCCGAGGATGACCTATGAGCTCATTGTGTCTCCTGGGTCAGGAGGATAGCAGCTAAGGCCACAACAGTGGAGACTGAAGGACTTGTCGCTTGTCTGTTTATGGACCTTCACCTGGTTCAATCAAGATTTCCAGAGGAAAATTACGGAAACTGAAGGATCATGGGAAGGAATTACAAGCTGCAACTATAAAATGACTTTGTTCCAATTTTTTAGAGAGCAGTTCATGAGAGGGGACTAACCTTAGACAACTTTATTGTACATGAAGGGCACCCGGTGGGATGTTCCTGGGTTCAGAGGAAAAACACTCAGTGTTATGACAATTTCTGCTTTTTAGCTTTTTGAGAGTTTGTATGCCACACTCTTCTGGGGATTTGTTCGATAAAGAAATATCCATTCCTAAAGGGGGAGGTCACTGGAGCTGCGTGTGTGCCTGAATGCATGTCTATGTGGATGAGTGCATGAGAGGGTGTGAGGAGTTGTAGCGGGCTCCTCTTGCAACCCTTTTTATTTTCTGTTGCCCCCATTGTGAAGACAAGAAGTACAACTACATTAACACAATTTGTCATTCCCCTGCTGACAACTGAGTTTGCTGTTGATGTGGACAAGAATGGGAAAAAAGCAGAACACTTGATGTGAACATGCTACAAGGACTTCACTCACTCTGGCTGGAGACTGAAGAACTTTCTTTGAGAGCTCCTGTCTGCTCTCTTATTCTGTTTGACAGGCCCTCGTTTGATCTGGACAAAAAAGGCCTGATGGAGCCCCCTGGAGGTTGTCTGTGGGTATGACGTCATTTCAGAATACATTTTTTTTTTCTCTCTCTTTGGGCAACTCTAGAGGAGCTGCTGGTGCAGGAGGTGCTTTCTGAGGGACTGCTGTGCTGACCCAAAGTGTTGCATGCAACATCTCCTTGATGATTGAGTGTCGATGCGTTAGATTACACAGATCGATCTTTCCAGATCAGAGTGGATGCTTGTGTTTTTGGGGACACATGTCCTTAAAGTGCATTGGTTTAATCTAATATATATTTTATATATAAGTTCACCGTTGTCTTGTCAAGACTGTGCACCATTTATGTTTTCTCTGTTGGCTTTAAATTCTGTGCAGTGCATACTATGAAGGCATTCATGTCCATCTCTTCTTGTAAGATGAAAGATGACCCCAGTATCCCAAGAAATGTTTCTGTTTGGTTAAAAACAAAGGATAATGTCTTTCTGGTTGACAGAGTGATGCTGATGTATCTGTATGCTCGCTCTTTGCAGACAACCGTGCCAAAAACAGCAACTCACTGCTCAAAAGATTCATGCTTTTGCTCCAATGTTCAGTTTGCCACTGATCTTATAAAACAAGCACAGACTCAGAGTAACATCGAAAATGGAACACGAAGGTGACAAAAAAGAGAAATGCAGTTCACTTCTCTGGCCAGTAGATGTCCCTAAAAGGCTTCTTCGCCCCTTACACTTTAGTTTGTTCATACAGCTTCACCAAAGATCAATAGACTTCATATTTCAGTTCTCGCAATGAAGTAAAAGCTGCTTGATAATCAATGTGAAAAAATGAATACCACAAAATTAACTGAAAAGTTAGACACATGATGAGTTCAACCATCTCACAGAATCGATCTGCAGTTAATGTGAACTGATGTGTTCAATGGGAACAACTGATCAGGGAGGTTTACATTCACGATTCAAACTTATACCACTACAGGGCACCAAAGGAAGGAAATTACATGAAGATGAGGTTGTTAAATGCCATGTTAGACTTAGCAGAAACTGTTGTATCATATCAAATAAAAAAAAGTGTCTTTTTGGAACTGAGTGCAGTTTTCATGTTTCTCTACAAATCTCTTGATTTGCAGGATTAAAATTACTGCTAAATTGATTTTGATTTTTGCACGGAGTCATTTCTTCTATCCTCCTTCTACATTCTTTTGATCCGTTATTTATTTAATTTTTTCTTATTTCATTCTTGAAGTGTACTAATTAGTTTTCATCACTTTACTGATCATGCAACTGAGGTACTCTTTTTGTTGCTAGACCTCACTGAGGCCATATCTTCACTTTGGTAGTTTCTGATAAAGACAAAAGGCAAAGCATTTTGCTTGCTCCAGCATCCCCCCCCCCCCCCCCTTCCCCTTTGGAGAAAGTTCAAACAGGATTGAAGACAAAGAAAAGAAACCCCTGGATGAGCAGACATCTGGTTGACTGGTCCATGAATAAAGCCTCATTCTGGGCAGTAAAGCAGAGCCGATCGTAACACGGCTGTGATATATAGAGGGGGTTAAGAAGAAGGGGGTGGGGAGGAGGAGGGGGTATTAACTTTCACAAGGGTGCAAAATCAAAGGGAGTTCCTGTCACCACTGAGGGGGTCTCGACAACAGGGGTCCCATTCACAGGGAATTCCTCTTCAGTGCCCTCTTTTGCATCTGTTGACTCAATCTTCTCCATTGAGAGAAAGAAAACACTCATTAAAGCCACATGACTGTGAACTTGATTGCAGCAGGCGAGACAAACAGCCCCATCAATGGATCGAGTATTTACTTTGAGGTGTGAAAATCTTTGAACAGCCCACCATGTTAGGGCTTCTTTAGTGGCTTCTTCCTTCACACCAGCAGCACAATGACAAGCATTTGTATTCTGAATGCAGTCAGATTATCATTTAAATAAAATGTTAGATCTTTGAGGAGCCCGAGGGGCGGTAGAGATTCGCACACCTCTTCAATGAGCTAACACTGTTTAAACTATTGACTCTCATACATATTTACTTCACAGTCGAGTGTCAAGGTGTAAGAAAATGAGATTAGAAGAAACAGTCAAATTGTTTCAGCAAGGACAATGTTTATTAAAATTGACATGCGGCCATAACCCCGTTAAAACTGTTCAAGATATTTATACATAATTTACAAGAACTTTAAAATGTTTTATAATCTGGAGCTTTAACAGTACTTCACTCTGCTGCAGAAATCTGCAGATCAAAGACTCATATTTCAAAAAAAACATCTCTACCTTGAAGTAGAGACCCTCGTTTTGAAATCAAATCAAATTACTTTTTGAAGAAATTATCATTTTTATACAGCAACCTTCAGCTGTAGAAAGGCATACATTTTTTTTAACATAATGATAGTATTAACAACATATTCTGGTAAACCTTGTGCATTTTGTTCATGTCCGCTACGTACTTCACACGGATTAATTATTTACAAAATGAGTTTAAAACAAGTCTTAATTAGTCAAGACAAAGCCATTATAGCTGAAGTCTGTTTGTTCAGCATGTTGGATAGTACAATGAATTCAGAAAAACCCACAATATCTTATAAATAAGTCTTCAGGTTTCCTTTCAAGGTGCCTCACTTCAAAAAGAACATGATAACTTGAATTAAAAATTGCCTCTAAATATCATTTTGTTGTTCTACTTGAAGTCAAAAGTAGATCTTATGACAACAGATCATGTTAAGGGAGCTAGAAGCGTTCCCTCTAGTGCAAAACTATGGCAGTCAGTGTAAGTCACACAGTCTGTTTGTTGTTGGAGATATTTATGAATGGAGGAGCGCAGAAAGATTACTCTCTCTTGATATTGGCGAGCCGAGGATCCGTGCTCTGCGATGGTGGCCCCGACCGACTCTTCCTGCTCTGGTGGGTCTTGACATGTTTGGATAGGTGGTCGCTCCTCATGAACCTCTTCCCGCACTGCTGGCACCCAAAGCGCTTCTCCCCGGTGTGGGTGCGGAGGTGCCGCTGCAGCTCGTCTGAGCGGGTAAAACTCTTACCACAGAACAGCCAGTTACAGATGAAGGGTCTCTCCCCGGCATGCCACCGCAGATGCGCCTTGAGGTGCGATGTCTTCTTGTACACTTTGCCACATTCAGGGATGTGGCAGATGTGCAGTCTCTTCTTTCCGAATTCTAACCCACCACCGTTGGTCTGGCAGTTGGGGCACTTGCAGCGGCGGCAGCGGCGAGTGGAGCTCAGCAGGCCCTTGGAGGTGCCCTGGAGAAGAGCTGCTATCTGGGGTTGGTGCCCCAGAACTAACTGTCTGCCTAGGGAGAAGGGGTGGTTGGACGGGGTGGCGTTAGTTTGGGGCAGGCTCCACCACTGCTGGGATTCCTCCACAGGGCCTCCAGACAGGTGATGTCTGGTGGAGGAGTTCTGCAAGAAGCTTGGAAAGTTTTGTCCCACACTGTTGTGCTGAGGGTAATAGCCGCTGTTTGTCTGTGGCTGCGAAGACAACACTTTGACAGGAGAGAGTTCAAAGGAGTACGAAGAGGGAGGCTCGGCCGGTGGGGTGAGAGGCAGCTCGTGGTGGTGGTGGTGGTGATGGTGAGGGTGATGATGGTGGTGGTGACCCAGACCAGATTGCATGTGACCAGGAAACTGCACTTTGGGCACGGTGAAGGTCATCTGATGGGTGCTGAGGGCCGTGCTGGGTGTCATTTCGTTGCTCCACAGCTGGAACATTCCTGACGTGGAGCTGACGGTGCCCTCGTACGGAAACTGTGAGCCTTCTGAGCCCATCGTGCCTCCAACCTGCCAGGCCTGGCTACAGGTGGTGGCAAGGAAGGAGAGGGCGTTAGGTGCTCCCTCTGGAGAGGAGCTGGGTGTCCGGTCCTGTGAAACACACACATGAATACATGGGCCACTTTAGTGACAAATACAACTTTTCAGTTTTCATAAACAGAGATAACATTTTCTTTAAAAGTTTGTTTTTCACAACATTATTACCATTTGATGCATTGTTCCAGAATTAACTTAAGGCTAAATTTTGATCTGTGATGCCTTTAAAGTTACATCACAACACAATTATATAAATGCATTATAGGCAGCAAATTGCTTAACTGAATTGTATTTATTTGTATTTTCAGAAGGCTACTTTAGTTCATTTTTCTGTCATATTAATGTTTGAAAATGTAGGCTATTAACACTATAAAAAGTTACATTATTTTCAGAGGGCTGATGCACGTTCAACAAAGCCTATTTACTCCATTGAAGCTAGAAGAATTACAAAAGTAGTTCAAAAACCAGCAGTCAAGAAGAAAATTAAATATCCAACCTGTAAAAAGGTGTGCAAAAAGTTGTCAGTCCTTTGAATCGCCAGCGCAGCCATCTGTCCTCGGGCTCCTTTTAGCGCACCTGCAACACAAACTGCGCCGGAAAGCGACGATTCACAAAGTCTGAAGTCGAGCTCAGAGGCAGGAAAATGCTGCTCACATTCACGTCTTGGATGACTCAGACACTTTGGCAGGCTAAACTTGGAAATCCAGCATCATTCAAAAGTCACCCACTCCACTGGGTCAGTGTTTCAAATGTGCTCTGGCAGTCCAGTTAAAAAAAGTGTGGAAGCAGCAGAGTGTCTGAAGCGCGCAGTAAATCCTCGAGCTCATCTCAGAGGCGCCCGAGCTGCATCGTCTCTTTATAGAGAGAAAAGATCCTCTCAACGGGGTCTCCAGTTGATGCACGAGAGCCAGTCAATAGAGAGGAGATGAGAGGGGAGGAGGAGGAGGGAGGTAGGGGAGGGGGTGTTAGGTGAGGGGGTGGGCCACTCATAATTTCACTGAATTTCAACGAAATGCTGACCCTAAGAGCTGACTCCGCCTCCAATTGTCTTTATAAAAAAAAAAAAAAGGAAGAAAGATAAGAAGTCTCTTTTATGTCTCTTTCTCAGAGAATCATGTTTAATGTAAATCTTCCAGACATGTTGAGTTAGAGCCTCACCAGATTAATTTCAAAATATCACACAAAACTACAAAAAAGAAAAGAAAAAGAAAGTCAGTGTTGCTGTGTTTCAGCAACTTAATATGTCAACATTAAGGAGCATACTTAGCAAAATAACAAAATGCTTAGTCTGCATAAAAAGATCTAAGATTTATACAGCCTGCTATATCAAAATAGTTCTCACTCTGGGAGTATTTGCATACTTCTTCAACTCCACTGTGGGAATTCAAGTAAAGATAGTGAATACGTTGGGTTTTATTTCTGGCAACAACAGTTGGAGCATTACAAAATGAGAAAGTGGAAACAACCTACGACCTTAAGTCAACATCTATTAGGGAATTATTTTAAAACACAGAGAGTCAGAGAGGGTGAGGGAATTTAGTTAAGGTTTGATTATTTTTGTGTTGATTTTAATTGATAGGGATGAAGCATGCTAATAAACATCAGTCGAGAAATGTTTGTGGAATTTCTGGTTTCATTTACACTGCACTTTTTTTCCCTTTAATTTTGCATTTAACAAAGTGGAGTTAAAGTGTGGTATCCTGCATTAATAATGTACATTTTGCACTCTTAAAAATCCTCAAAAAGTAAATGGTGAGGATAATTTTAAATATTTGTGCAGAACTGAATGCATCAATTGACAGAAAATCCCAATTTAAAATGAACATTAAGGATTCATTAAAATGTGATAAGTGTGGTACAAATCAGCCATGCAAGTATTTATAATTATGATGTAACTCGAGCAGCATTGAGGAAAAGAGTCTAATCCCAAATGAAAATTAACATTAAGGATTCACTGAAAATCATCAATGAGTAAATGATGAGGATCATTTTATATATTTGTTCAGAGCTGAATGCATCTATTGACAGAAAATGTGAGGTATACCTTCATCCACTGTTTGATGATTAGCTTTTTGCAGATCACACTTAACAAACTTTTTTCTTCACAAGGTGACTTTGCAGGCGGGAGGCTCACACACACCATGAAGACAGTCCCATGCAGTGTTTTCCCTCACAAAGCTAATTGATAAAACTCAATCAAAGCCTCTGAGTTCTCACCAGTGGGTGACACGTCAAATAGGCCGCCCTGTGTGACATTCTCACATTACAGAGTTCAAGTAGAGGCCGCTTCAGATCTGCTCCATTAAATGCAGATTGAGGCTTAATCTCATTCTGTAAATCTGTTCACCATTACAATGTTAAGAGTTTAAATCCAGGCTGGGAACCTGTTTCTCATGTAAATAGACAGTTCCTCACTTAAGCACAGCTTTTTTGTTTTACAGGCTGTGATCCTTAAATAAACACAACCAGAGGAGAAATCTTAAAGTAGAATTTAAGTTTTAGCAGGTTTATTTTACAAAATAATTTGATCAGAAATGAAATGTTTGCTGTACTCCAGGTGTTGTGCATTGATCAGCTTTTAACACTACAATTATGGCAGTAAAGATAATTACCAAACTGTACCATTTGGTTAAGGCCTTTTTGAAGTCGTTGATGAGACAGTAGAGAAGACAGATTGCCACTTATACTATGTCCTTGACAGAAAGACACCTCTTTTTATACAGAAGATTTCTCCAGATTCACAATAAGGATGAACTCAAATAAATCACCCTGGTTATTTTATTTCTAATACGTGGGAAAACTGGGTGAATCTGTGTTCAAGAAAAATGTAATGATAATATTGATTTCAAAATCTGCTGTTTATCCAATTAAACAAATGCAGTGATGCCAGTATTAATGTTATTTATCCTTGTTTATAAAAAAAACAAAAAAAAAACGTATTAGGCTTGCAAAACACATTTTAACTTTTTTTTCCAGAAAGGATAAACATCTGCAGGATAATACTGCAGATGAAATGTGATAAATGTGATACAAATCAGCCATGCAAGTATTAATAATTATGATGTAACTCGAGAAGCATTGAGGAAAAGAGTCTAATCCCAAATTAAAATTAACATTAAGGATGAAAGCAAATTGTAGTAGAGGAAAAAAACAAAACAAGCGCAGAGGACATGAAAACAGGAGTGTGTCTGAGAGGCAGAGGTATATGTCTGTGGTTTATTACAGAGCAGAAGTTGTTAATTACCCTGATTCTTATTTCCTGTCCCTTCTCTCTCCCCCCCACCACCACCATCACCATCACCACGCCACCCCTCCCCCACTGTACTGCCTCCCAGATGAGTGGCTTTGAAGTGCAAAGTACTCTCTCCTCACTTTGAACTGTGAAAACAATGCTCATGTGGTGGTGCTTACCTTCCCCATGTTACCTCATTTAAATAGACCTGGATTTGGCTTGCACTGTTTTCAAGGGAAAACTCATTTCCAGAGAAAGAGGTCCCTGTGTTCATTAAACAGCTGGTGAGATTGCTGTAATCAGGTCCCGCTCCGTCATACGCTGCAAGCTGCTCTGACTGGGTGGCTGCTAAGAATCCAACTTCAAAACTGACATAGACGGAAACCCATCAAGGCAATACAGATATCTTAATGTACCTATTTCCAAACAGAAAAGGCAAAAAATACGTAAAAAAATGTGGCCTTTTGTGATAGTTTCATACTCCTAAAATCTATGACACATGGTGTACTGATTGCAAACATTATCTTACTTTTAAGCTCCTAGCATTGACTATGCAAGTGGCTTTTCAAGCTGTTTTTATCATGCCTGGGGGGCAGTTTAAAAGCCCCACATCACTAAATTGTCCCAGCTGTCTTGACCATCTGCACTCAAAAAGAAGGGGCAACCATAGAGGAGAGCAGCCTTTGTACTGGTGGCCATGTCAAAAAGCCAATTTTACAGCACTGTGCCGCTCTCTCAACGGCCCCTCATGTGACAAATGTGGCCTAATGGACGAGACAGACAGCATGTAAAAGCCTGCTGCTAAATGTAGTGATTCAGTCTGTAAGCATTCAGCAACATAAGACAGGACAAGCTGGGGTCTAATTACCATGACACTCAGCTTCTTTATCACGAGGAGAAACACCAACAGCTGGACTTTACAGTGCAACAATCTGAGAGCTCGTTCAGTGCGTGTCCTTCCTGTTTCCTATGGAGTTAGAAATGTGTGCAGTTGTTTGGCAAAGAGAAACACACTGTTGTTTACAATAAGACATAGTGATGAAGTTTGAAGTGCACCAGAACTTTTGCTAATCACAACAATCATAGCAGTGTTGAAACTTTTCATTTAAGTGCCTGATCATGTAAAGCTGTTCGTTGACTTACCCTTCATGAGCAAACATTGTGGAGACTGAACACCCCCTCTTTCCCCAACGTATTTGCTGTCAGCACATTCAGAAATGTTAACATCATTTCATGTGTACATCATTTATCTTACTTACATTTTTGTTTAAATGTTTTTATGTGGTTTCATTTAAAAAAAAAAGTTGTATACAGTTACTGTATACTTCTAACATATTAAAACTAGAAATAAAAGAATAAATAATATTTAGAAAAATTATTTAGCTACACTTAACTTACCTCAAAATTATGTCTACTGCTTATATCAATAACTAAATTTAATAACTGATGAGAACATATGTTTCAATACCTAAATTACACAGGAAATTTAAGTAAAGTATTTGGTAATTTAATACGTATTTTATAATTGGAAAAGTGCACCAGTTTACAAAATGCCCTCAAATTTAAATGAGGAATTGATAAATGTTTTGTTCTTATGAACAAACTGTTGTTCTATTTGGGATACAATTTGGTTTATTTTTTTATTGCAAATTACATAAAATAGTAATTTGTTTAGGTCTCATTAGAATCTTACTGAAACATAAATCACAGCATCGCAGTATTTTTGCATATCTACAATACATTTATGGCAGGCGCGATGATGATTTCCACTTCCGTTCTACAGCCTGCATCGCTCTGTGTGAGAAACAGTAAACTCTAATAATTCCCTCTTCTCTTGTCCATTAGCATGTTAGAAAACCCCAAAATCTCCACTCCTGGGCAGACGCAGGCAGACAGCATGCATCTCCACTTGTCAAAGAAAACTTTTATCAATACCAAGAGCACTTGAAGTTTGTTTGCATTTTGTTTTCCAGCACTCTTAACAACTTCAGAAGTCAGATCACAGGAGTATCTGATCAAAGCGCTTCGTGGTTAGTTCTGGAAACACAGGAGTGCTACGCCATGCTTTGATACTCCACATCAATATTTCAATTCAACAATCACTTGACATGCACCCATACTCCCAGAGACGAAAGACGGAAAGAAGAGAGAGAGAGAGAGAGAGAGATGGGGATGATGGAGGTTTTTGGGAAGTACATATAAAAGAAATGGACTGAAGAAATCACTGCCTCCTTCACCTTTGTGGCAATGTGATGCATATAAAAATAAACAAGATGCCATTTTCACTTTTAAAGTCTGTTAATATGTTGTTATTTTTGCTGTCTTTCTGTATGTTTCCTTATCTCTTTAGCCCCTTTTACATTGCCATTTCAAGAAGGGAATTTTTACGGCCCTATTTCACCCTGCTGTCAATGTAAATGTAACAGAGGTGTAATGGGACAAAGGTAAGACGTGACGTAAAAAAAGACAAGGAAGTAGCGTATGGAGCAACAGAGTCCGCTAAACAATGCTATAATGAGAACATTTCCCTTTATATCAATGCTATGTGTTGTTCGGCTGAATCACAATGTCAACAACAGAGTGGAGAACAACTTGCAGATGAACA